TATATACTGAAGATTTTCTTAATGGCTATATATACATTGGCTCACTGAATGGAAACATGTACTCTAATTTATTTAATCCAATTATTTTTCATGGCATTGCAGATAGTTTCTACTTTTTTTTAACTATTATCACACACACAGGAAAATACATAAGTTAAAAGTACAGCAGAACTAAATTGCTTGTCTCAAATCCCAGCTCCTGCCATTTACCAAAGCTGTGTGACTGGATAAAAGTTAAGACAGTCCTCTTTCTCTAAACCTTGATTTCTTTCTCTAAGATGGAAGGACACGGGCGATGCTTTCCAAAATGTTGTGAGGGTGAATTAATATAACAGGGCAAAGTGGTTTGGCATAGTGTTTACTAAGTACACATACACAATAATAAAGGTGTAATTTTATTACTTACTACAGATGATGAGTACAAGCATAAAACCTCCCCCCCCCCTCCCCCCCCCCTCCCCAGCCCCTCTGTGAATATTTGTGGTTGCAATTCCTAGAAGAACATTTGAGTCATTGGGTACGCTGATATTTACATAGTGAAAAATATCTGGATCAGCTTTAAAATCACATCTAAAATAATTACCCCAAAATTTCTTGATACATGTGGTGATGTGGGTGTGATATTAATTTGAGGCAACAACTTGACTGGGCCAAGCTGTGCCCAGATATTTTGGTCATTAATATTATCCTGAGAGCTTCTGTGAAGCTGCTTTTGGATGAGATTAACCTTAAATCAGCAAAGTACATGCTGTTTTCTCTAATTCGGTGGACTCTATTGAATCAGGCTGGAAGGTTAAAACAGACCAAAACACTTCCTGAATAAAGAACACTCTTCCTGCCTGATGGTCCTAGGGACTGAACTGACATTAGCTGCTATTTTGGCAGCCTGTAATTGGAATTTACATCATCAGCTCTCGGCCTTTGTGGTTTTTTTGAGCTCAGAATGGAGCTAAACCATCAGCTCTGTTGCTGGGTTCTCCAACTGCCAACTCCATTCCTCTAGTTTAGGACTCCATAATTGGTATGTGGTAAAGTCAGCCCTTATAAAAAAATTTGCCCCTTTCTGGGCTGCTTGGTGGTCACGCCAGTTGGTTGCACGTCCGACCTCAGCTCAGGTCACTCCACACTCCTGTTCAGGAGTTCGGTCTCCCCCAAGGCGCGCCTGGCTCTGGCTGATGGTAGGAAAGCCTGGAGCCTCGTTTACCCTAAGTCTCCTCTCTCTGCCCTCCTTGCTCATGCTCTTGTCTCTGTCTCAAAAATAAATAAACGTCAAAAAAAAATTTAAAAAAAAAATTTCCTCTCTACTATCACACAATACATGTTGCACACAGACACACACAATAATAATAATGTGTATGTATGTTATTACTAACACACAGTCTATTGATTCTTGTTTAAAGAACCCTAATATTAATGAGTATGTTTGGTCTTCATGGAGACTTCAAAAGAGTATATTTTTATGATATGTTCAGGGGTATGTACATTAAACGAAAAATTTTTTAAAGTTAAAAAGGTAAGAATTTAAAATACTTTTTTTGGGGGCGCCTGGTGTTAGGGGTCGGCTTGAGCAGCCAACTGGCTCTAGGTCACGATTCACGGTCCGTGAGTTTGATGATAGCTCCCCCTGAAGCGATTGGTAATGGAGCCCGGAGCCTGCCTGGATTTTGTGTCTCCCCCTCTCTCTCTGACTTCCTCCTGTTCCTGTCTCTCTCTGTTCAAAATAAATAAACGTGCAAAAGTTAAAAAAAAAATTTTTAAATACTTTTTTTTTTAAGTAAGGCCTGTCTGAGTAGAGTATGAAGAAGCACAACCACGCACACTAGAGGCTGTAGAACAGGGCAAACTCCCTTTTTTTTTTTTAATGTTTATTATTGATTTTAAGAGAGAGAGAGAGAGCAAGTGAGGGAAAGGGCAAGAGAGAGGAGAGAGAGTCTCAAGCAGGCTCCACTGTCAGCACAGAGCCCAGCACAGCCTCAATCCCACAAACCCGAGCCAAAATTAAGAGTTATACTTACAAGGGGCATGTATAGATAGGGAGAGATGGAGACTTGTTTCACCCCCAAGGGCCCTGGGCAAAATCTTTGAAAGACACTTGGCAAGGTGCTGGTTCAGTCAGTGGAGCATGTGACCTTGATCGGGGGGTTCAGGAGTTCATGCCCCATGCTGGTGGAGAGATTACTTAAAAATTAAAATTCAAAAAAAAAAAGACAATTGGCAAATATTTATCAAACGTCAAAATGTTATGCCCTTTTATCCTGTAATCCCATTTCTGCAACTCAAACCTAAGGAAATAATCTGAAATGTGACAAAATGCTTTGCACCTTGTCCACCAGCACATGTGGGCGATAGATAAAAACTGAAGCGCCTGGGTGGCGCAGTCGGTTAAGCGTCCACTTCAGCTGTGTCACGATCTGCGGTCCGTGAAAGTCGAGCCCCGGCGTTGGGCTTGGGCTGATGGCTCAGGAGCCTGGAGCCTGTTTCTGACTTGTGTTTCCCTCTCTTTCTCTTCTGCTCTCCTCTGTTCATGTTTGGGTTCTCTGTTCCAAAAATAAATAAATTGAAAAAAAAAAAAAAAAAAAAAAATTGAAACTACCTACACACATACACATGCTGCAACGGGGCTGCACTACAGTGCCTGATATGCCACCTCCCTGTTCTCCACCTACAACCTTACTGAGTGCACTGCAGGGTCGTGTGACATATTTCACCCATGTGACTACTTATATGGTTGGACTGGGCGGTGGTAGCCTCTAATTTGGGAAGGAATCATAATCCCAACTTTCTTTCTTCTAGTAATCTGAAATTAGACAGAGGGATTTGAGTCTGCACTTCAAGTTTGAACTGTAGGAAGAGTGTTATAGAAGAGCTGGGAATTATATAAGTATGCAAAAGGCAAGAGAGAGAGAGACAGGAAGAAAGTAGATATCAGAGAAACAAAGCTCAAGGGAGAGGAGAGGAAGTCGAGAAGAAAAAGTTGAGGGCCAACCTTATGCCTGGGATCCATAAGATACCCACCATTTTCTGGAAACTACATTTATATGCATTTTTGGCCAACATGCAAAATAATCCCTAACCAAATCTGAACATATCTGGGGGGTGCAGGTGGCATGTGCAGCAAAAGATTCTCAGAGAAATAGCTACACTAGGGCAAAGAGTCTTTAGGGTAGGCTGGGGTGTGGGAAAATGTTTAAAATTTTTTTTTTAACGTTTACTTATTTTTGAGAGACTGAGAGAGACACACTAAGCAAGGCAAGGGGGGAAGGGGGACAGAGAGAAGGACACAGAATCCAAAGCAGGTTCCAGGCTCTGAGCTGTCAGCACAGAGCTTGATGTGGGGCTCAAACCCATGAACCATGAGATCATGACCTGAGCCAAAGTCGGACGCTCAACCGACTGAGCCACCCAAGCACCCCGGAAAATGTTTAATAACTAGTTTTCCAGGAGCGAGGGGAGAAGTCCTGATTTGGAGCACCTGTCAATTTTCATGGTGTAAATCCTCCTACTGTGGCCGATCTCCAGGTGCTTTACTGCACACAGAGATGCACACAACTGGCTCTCATGAACCAAACACACTGGCTCCATTGGGTTGCAGGAGAGCAGCGAGTACTCCTCTTCCCTGGAGGGGATGCTAGCAATTTCTCGTGTGTGGTGGTCAGATAAGTCATGTTCACTAGTTTCTTGTATTCAGACCATGTATCCATCAGGTCTGGGGCCTTCTAATCCCCATTCCTTCCTTCCTTTCTTCCATTCATTCATTAAAGTGGGCTCTACACCCAACATGAGGCTTGAACTCACGACCCTGAGAATAAGAGTCACGTGCTCTACCGACTAAGCCAGCCAAGTGCCCCACTAACCCCCCATTCCAGACCAGCAAAAAGACTTTTTGAAACACACAACCATATTCCTGAGTTTGAAAGCCAAAAGAGTTTGGACATTAAGTCAACACCCCAGACAAGAAAAAAGAGAAGGCCCTTCCCACCTACCTCATTGGGAAGGACTGTGGCTCCATCTCCATCCCGGGGGACACCATCCTTCCCCACCTGGGGGAGCACCGAGAGTCTGGCCTCCTCGCTGCTGCCTGACTTGGCTGCCTTCTTGTTCAGGATCCTGGCCATGCCCTCTGGCTGATGGTAGCTGGCTGGGGAGAGGGGCTCCGGTTTCTTGGTGCTCTCCTCCCCTGCCGCCGAGGTGGGGCTTGGTGCCCGGCCACACACGTTGCGGAAGAACTCCTGCACGATGCCATACTTCAGAGGCTCAGGCTTGGCCCGGGCCTCGGACATGCCCAGTTTCCAGACAGACTCCGTGCTCCCCGAGTGCTCCACAACACTGAAGAGGCTGGACAGCCCGTCATTGATGTTCCTCAATACAGGGCTGTCCCGGGTGGTGGTGGAGCGGGCCCAAGCGGAGCCATTCTGCTTGCCTTGGTGCAGGTTCCACAGGCTGCGGTCCTTGGCGCTGTCCAGCTTGGACACGGACCGCCTCTGGAGCTTTGGCGAGCCATACTTGGGCGAGCAGCACGGCCGCTCGATGCGCGAGTGCACCTTGTCCAGGGAGGAGGAGATCTGCTTGCTGCGCACCGACACGAGTGATGAACTGCGTGGTGACCAGCTCTTGCCGTGGAGACTGCTGCGGGGTGGGTCCGTCTGCAGGCCCACGCTGACCGTGCGGATGGTCTGTGTGCCCACACTGGCCAGGCCCACTGTCTGGCTGGACGTGCTCTTCACTTTCTTCTCCAGCGAGCCTGAGCGCATGGCCTGGCGCACGCAGTTGGTGATCTCCTTCATGTCGTCGCTCATGTTGCCAGACATCTCAAAGTCATGCAGGGCTGCCGGGAAGCCGGGCCCTGCCGCAGAGGGGCTGCCCCCCGAGCCTGCGTCCAAGCGCTGCCGTGAGAAGTTGCAGAGCCACCGGCTGTAGGAGCTCTCAGCTAGCCTGTCAGCCTCGGCTGACTCTTTGGGTTTGGCGGTGGTGAAGAGGAAGCCGGGCTCGATGATGATCTTGCCCTCCCTGTCGTGGACCACGGGGACACCCAGGCGCCGGGCCACTGGGGGACTGTAGTACACGCGGATACCCGTCTTATCAGGAGCCGTGTAGCTTCGCTGCATCTGCCTCCCTGCCGGCTCCTGGCAGCCCAGGGAGCCCAGGCGGTTGCAGTCCCGCGGCGAGAGCCCTGGCTGTTCCTGGGCATCCTTCTCTGAGTCCACCGGCTGGGTGCCCACAAAGGCAAAGGCAGGGTTGTTGGGCAGCTTCTTGCCTCGGGCAGCTTCACCAGCAAGGTAGGGGGAACAGTCGAGCAAACTTTCGAACTCAGACATGGACGAAACAGATTTGGTCCTGGGAGGAGCAGAGGAGGAAGAGTGAGGTTAGTGGAAGATAATGGAAAGAGAGCAGGCACTCTGGTCTTCTTCGCTGGTCCACAACTGGGACCACGACCGTCCTGCTCACGTCTTGTGGAAGACGCTATCGGTGCCCTGCCCCACATCGCCTCCACACCCACACCTACACACCCAACACAGCACACTCCGAACACCTGCCATTCTCCACCAAAGGGCTTTTTTTGTGACTGCAAGAGCACACTTGGCCTCCATGCAGAGGAAGCTACAAATATCACAGAGTTTTGCCCCTACACACAGCCCCCAGCAAACAATGGGTGGGAGTTGGTAGCTCAGTACCCAGCCTCCTTGCTCTTCGGACAGGTGACTCTGAGCTGCACGTTCCACTCGGGCTCCCAGGGTTCCTCAGCGAAACTGAGCTTCGGTTGTCCGCGGAATGACAACATCCCCCTTTGTTGGCTGCCTTCCCTTCCTTGTGTCACTTCCAGTGTTTCCTAAAATCCCTTCCCAAATAAACGACCTGCACTCAAATCCTTGTCTCAGGATCTTTGAGACAAGTTCTCAAATCCTGTGTTTGCTTTTGGGGGAACCCAAATAAGATGCCATTGAACCTCTGGCACCTGTGTTGCCTGACGACCTCCAGTGTCAGGTGCACATAAATGCATCTCAGAGGTCAGACCATTCGGCCCTCCAGGGACTCTAGGCGACAGGTGCTACGGTTCCCACTCGAGTGAGATGGGAAGGATCACCCAAGGTCGCCTTCCTAGAAATGGCACAGCTGGAATTCAAGCCCCACACGCTGACTCCGGAGCCCACCCTCCTACCCTGGGCCTGCCTGGCTTGAGGTTCCTCTCATGGCCCAGATGGGGTTCTGTTGCTCTCATTCTATTCAGGGTTTTGTAACAGTGGAGGTATGGCCCTGATAGCCCCAGGATCTCCCTGGCCACAGCTCAGGGCTGGGCCCAGAGGAAACTGCTCAGTAATCCCAGGAATAGCCCAGCCTGGTTCCCCTAACTCCAGACACAGGAAGGAACCCCAAGCGGAGCTGAAAATTTCTTTCCCAGCTAGGATGTATGGGGTCCCAGGTTTTCATACATATCCACAATCAAACAAACAAGAAAAATCAAGGGCTGGAATTCTAATTGTCCCAAGCTTCCTGGCTTCTCAGTGGCTTCAGTTCCATAGAAACCATATCCCAGGGCTCCATCAGCTCTGCTGAGGTGCTGTGGTGGACACATGGGGCAAGGGAAAGAAGACAGACAAGGAGTGGAGCAGGGAGAGGGCCTGAAGGGTTGGACAGGAGAGGGGCTGCAGGGCAGGGCAGGGCAGGGCAGGGCGGGGGGAGGGGATGCCAGCACCTTTTTAAGGCGGTTCCCCCAAGCTCAGCTTCAGAAACCCCCTCCTTGTCGAGGATCTTCTCACTCCGCGTCTGTCAAGGAAGAGAGGCAGGAAAAGTGAGTTCTGGCCACCAGCACACCAAGGGAAGGTGACAGGAGGTCGGTGTGGGAGCCGACCCTGGATCCCACGCCTGAGTCTCCTCTTGTAGAGCAGGAGTGAGGTCAGCACCGGTCTGGAATCCCTGTTGGTCAGTTTCTGGCTACAGGGCATCTATCACTCCCTCCATAGGTATGTGATCCAGACTTGGTCAATCAGAGATCCAAGAAAGAACCCTGGGAAAGAATCTTTTTAGAAGTTACTCTGGGGGTGCCTAGGTGGCTCAGCCAGTTAAGGTCTGACTTCGGCTCAGGTCATGATCTCACAGTTTGTCAGTTCGAACCCCATGTCAGGCTCTGTGCTGACAGCTTGGAGCCTAGAGCCTGCTTCCTATTCTGTGTCTCCTTCTCTCTCTGCCCCTCCCCCACTTGTGCTCTGTCTTTCTCTATCAAAAATAAATAAATGTAAAAAAAAAAAGAAGTTATTCTGAATGTGGTGGCAACAACAAAGCACCCAACAGCCAATGTTCAGCTAGCAGTGATAGCAGCGGCCTGATGTTTCCTGCTCAGGGCTTGTCTCACCCTCATTCCAGAGCAGGTCCCCTGGGACTTGCACAAGTTTTCAGAACCTGCGTCACCAGCCCTCTTGAGCCCCAGTCAAATCCTCTCCTGCCTCAGCTCCCCACAATTTTGTCGCTTACAACCAAATCCCCTGACACACCACTTCCTCAGGCTGTCATGAGCAAAGAGCCTGTATGCCCACTGTTTCCTTACTCAGAATATTGCTATGTGGACAATGCACCTGAGGCTTAAGCAAATGTCGCCAACGTGACCTAACTGGTCTCCACAAAGAGGGCTGGGCTACAGCACAGAATGTGATTCTCATTTTACCACTGAGGTAACCAGAGCCCAGGCAGGGAAGGATAGAGTGACTTGCTCAAGATCACACAGCTCTTAGAGGCCTTGCTTTTCAGAAAGGCACAAGCGACACCAAAGAGAGGGCAAAGGCCTGGCCAAGAACACGGAGAGACACCCAGCCTCTCTCCCAGGCATGGAAGGATGACACTGCCAGGGGGCTCCTCACAAGTCCCCAACCACTGGCTGGAACTATGGGATAGAGATGCCAGGATCGAGGAGCCCAAAGTGCAAGGGTATGACCTGTGAGACAGAGTTAGCATCGTCCCTGTCACCTCTCCCACATGCGAGGGGCTTCGCAGTGGAGCCAGGAGCAAGAGAACATGGATGGCCTGCTACCCCCTCACCTCTTTCCAGCTGTTGTCCTGCTTCTCCAGGTCTGAGTGCTTCAGGACCCAGGGGTCAGCAGCCTTCTGTAGCTGGGCAAGAGTAAAGAGGGTGGTCAGTGGCGTGTAAAGCTGGTGAGCGGGCCCTAGCTCTGTGCAGGCCACTCTGCAGGCTCTGCTTGTAGCCCGGAGGACCCAGTCATGGGCTAGGAGACATCTTCCCAGTGGGCAGCGGCTCCGCGCCACCAAAAGGTAGATTTGGAAAATGGCCATGAGAGCAGCCATTTACAGGCATCCTTAGCCCATCATTCTGTACGGTAACCGCTGTCACTGCTACGCTAATTCATGCTGCAATTCCTGGACCAGCTAGGTCAGCTCAGCACCAGCTGGATGACGTCAGAGTGGGGGCTCCATACTGGGCATGCTAAGCAGCAGGTAGATCGAATGAGTAGACTGACCTCTACGCTCTGCTGTGAACGGCTCTTTATGAAAGAGGCAAACAAATATAAACATACGTATCTTATGATTCCATCACTGATTCAAAAAAGAAAAAAGATCTTGGTCATGGGATCAAGCCCCACTGTCAGCATGCAGCCTGCTTAGGATTCTCTCTCTCTCTCTCTCTCTCTCTCTCTCTCCCTCTGCCCCTCACCTCCCCGCAAAATAAAGAGACATTTAAAATAAATAAATAAAGATTTTTTTAAAAAAGATCTCTGTGAACATAAATTTAAGTAGCAAGAAAGGGAAGAAGTGGGTTGGCGTATGATTTTGCAATATTTGGGTCTTATATAAAGATGGTGTCCTGATTTATGTAATTAAAATAAAAAGTAAAACAAAGGAAAAAGTCAAAATAAAGAATGGCGCCTAGCAGCCTGGTAGGTGGCAGCTGGGTGCATGATGTGCACCGTACTGGGGCGCAATGGCCACTGATGGTTTTTCCCATCCCCCTCTTTTGGTCAGAGGACTCTAACTTTCTCAAATTCGGAGGGCTCTAGGGGTAGGCACATGACTTACAACTGGCCAATCAGCCTTATGGAAGAGGAAAACTCTCTATTGCCAGTGGTAAGCTGTAAAGAGATGAGTATACAACTAACAGTAACCATATTTGGTGACAGCTTGCTTAGGAATAAAGCACAGAGGAAAGCAAGCCTGAGAGAGTGTCAGACAGATAGACCTAGCGCCTACTGCATTCTCTGAGCACCTGGATCCAGCTATAACTGAAGGAGACCCTAGCCCCGGACTTTTCCCACAGTGAGTCCCCGCGGTGGCTGGAGCCAGCTCGGGCTGGGACAGGCCTCACCTGGCTCAGGCGGTTCTGCAGCTCCTTTACCTGCTGCTCCACCTGCTGCTTCTCACCCTGAAGCCGCTCCACCAGCTGCAGCTTCTCCTGGCTCCAGTTGCGCTCGCTGATCTGCAGCTGCCTCGTCAGCTCCATGACAGCGCTGTAGGACTCCGCCAGCAGGTGCTGCTGCTCCTCGCGCTCCCTCTGTAGGGCTGCCTTCCAGTCGGGCCCTGCCCGCTCCCCAGCCCCCTTGCCAGCCTTCAGCTCCATCTGCAGCAGAAGGAAGAGCAAACTGGGTGTCTGGCACCAGGAGACCCTGCCTCTCTGCCCTGAAGACCCCTCACCTGCTGACCACCTACTCAGAACTAAGCCCTCCTCACAATCAAGGCTTGCAGGGAGCTCTTTCCATGCCAAGCTCTGTGCTTCCCAAGCATTGTCTCAGTATCCTCATGAAATCTCAACAAGACAACTACCTTTTTTGATATTATAGAGAGGAGAAAGAGGTTCGAAGAGGTTATCTGGCCCAGGTCACATAGCTACAAAACAGCAGAGGTTCCTGGTTATTGCTTCTCATATTTCATCAACTCTCACAACTGGTCTGGGTTTATGGTGAGTGCGGGACACGCACCCAGGATCACAAAATGAATGTGTGCAGCAATCAGCCCAGAGTGATGGCTTTCGTGGCACCAAGACTCAGGGTGGCAGGAGGTAAATATGCAGCCTCAAGCATCAGTGTTCCCCAAGTCCCCCAGGCTGTGGTCTCATATGTTAACCCCCATAGGGGCCGGTCCACTTCCCAGTGTGCAGGGGCACTTGGAATGACTGGGTTGTGGGGGGTCAGCAGGAACAGTGAAATGTGCAGACAGGGCAGGAGCTGTGAGCTCTGCAGGGAGGGTTAGGAGGAAAGAAGGGTGGCACTGGGAAGCCAGAAGTGTGTGAACCCTGGGAAGAAGGTTGGGGTCATGGTAATGAGAAGGCAGGAGGAACAGAGAATTGGGAGAAAGGTCAGGTCTGCTGCCTATTAGCTGGATGATCTTGGGAAAGAAATTTAACCCCTCTGTGTTTGTTTCATTACTTGTCCAGCAGAGATCATGGGCCCAAGGGGCCCATGATGCCCAGGAAGGCAGCCTGCAGCAGGGACAGGCTTGGGGAAGCTGGGACCTGAAGAGTCATGACAGGTGGGGGTGGGGGTGGTGGTGGTCACAACAATCTCTCTGAGTGGGAGGAAACCCACCCTCTCACTTTTCAGACCGCAGGAGGGCAACAACTTGCCTCCGGGCACACAACAGAGACCACAGCTCCAGAGCTCCTGGTTAAGGCTCCTTTGATCTCCCTGGGCTGTGGGGAGGGGAGTCCCCCAGTTTGTGGGGAGGAAGCAAAACAAAGCCAGGTAGCAAAGGATTAAGGGGATTCTTATGAGAGGTGGGAGTGAACGAATACATCAGGGAGAAGCCCAGCCATGTGTGAAGGCCGTCACCAGGTGCAGACAGGCATTTAAGCATCTGGCCTCACTTGTGAACCCATGGTGCAACAGAGGTGCCTATGATGTCCCGAGCCCATGTGTCAGTCCTTCACATTCCTTCCCTGGCCCAATGATCCCAGGCTCCAGTGTTTCTGGTACCCTTGCTGTATGATTCCAGCCATGATCTTGCCATCCCTGGGCCACGAGAGGAAGTGAAGGGGTTCCTATGCTCCTAGATCTGACAGCTGTGAGGGTTTAGATGAGGGAAGAACAAAGGGGAAATGTCTCTGACAGGTGGGGGACTCACCTGGGCAGTATGGCTCTTCAACTCTGCCCGCTCTGTCTCCCAGGTGGCCTTGGCCTTGGCAAACTGTTGCTGAAGTTCAGTCAGACCACGGCGTTCATCCCGAAGTAGCCAGCACAGCTCCTTCAGCGTCACCTTCATGTCAGCCAGTGTCTTGATATACTCATTGGGCTGCAGATGGGGGCAAGGCCTGGGTCAGGAGCTTCGAAGGCATGGGAAGGGGAGCCTGGGCTGGGAGCACTCACCCAGAGTCCAGCCCAGGACTCTACCTGGTCTCGAGCAAACCGCATGACCTCCCTAGGTCATCTCACCCATAAAATGGGCATGACAAGCCCAGCCATGGCCTGACATGTTCCCCGGCCTCACATAAACAAAAATCCCCGAGGCTACAGCAATTATTGTTCAGCCTAAATGTGAGGTGGGCCTTGGCTTCTTTGAGCTTCTGTAGAGTCTAGGCCCTGAGTCTTTCTCCTTGCCCAAGATCTGCTTGTCTAACCCATCATGGGCCAGATGGGAAATACGAACTACGCAGCCTCCTGACTGCCTGACTCAGTCCCAATCTTCTCTCCTTGGCCAATGACCTGTTTCCCACCCACCCACGCTCACTGTGTATGAACCTGGGAGCCTGACCCCATTGCTCTCTCTGCCCCATGGCTTGATTTGACGGTTCCTGACTCCAGACCACAAGGCCTCTCTTCATATGACCCTCCAACTTGATGTCCTTACCTTCACTATGTACATCCCGAGCCTCAGCCAATCCCAGAATACCCTGCCACACCTTTGCGCATACAATTCTCTCAGTCCAAAAGGGCCTTTTCCCTTCTCTATTATGCAAGCTCCCATTCATCTTTCAAAACCTACCACCTATTACCCCTTCTCTGTGATCCACACAGAATTAACTGCTCTCTTACATGTGACCACAGAGTCCATCATCTGTCACTACCCTGGATGACTCATGAACCCCATAGCACTAAGCATCTGGGGCAGTAAACAGGCAATAATCCTCTGAAGCTTTAGTACCCCATGCAAGACAGGTCAGAGAAGGTGGCAGGAAGTGATCGCTAAATAGACGAACCATGGGCAGGACAAGACTGGGAACAGGCTGGGAACGCACCGTGTTTTGGGTCCAGCTGTCCCCTGTACAGGTCTTGTTATCTGAATGCTGGGCATTTAATTCTTCTTCCTCCATTAGCAGGTACAGCTCCTTCATGCTATTTACCTACATTCAACAGAGGGTAGAAGGGTATCATGCTTGGGAGTCTCACCGTCGGGGGAAGGGATTCAGGCTAGTGGCCCCGATAGAAAGGGTCTTACACAGTCAGGTAGGATGAGAGAATGGGGGTTTATGGTTCAGGATGAACTACTCTAGTTCAACACCGATTTCCCAAATTTTAACTTTGGCTATTGCTCACCACCTAGGCCTAAGAGCACACAGCTGGAAACGCAGGCCGTTGTGGCCTTCTCTACCACCTCTTCTGGCTCAGGGGCTGTGAGGCATCCCTGAGAGCTACTCAGAATTAACCATGTTGTCAGGCTGGGTCAAGGTAGGCCCTGTGGGTGCAATAAAAGGATCACGGGCACCCCCATAATTATAGATAAATGCAGCCAAAGGTTTGGGTGGACAGAGGGAGCCATCCTGGTTTGCTGTGGATGGATTTGGGGCAGAAGTCCAGAGCCAGCCAAGGAGACCAGGGTACTAGGTTCAGGATGGGAATGACGCAGAAGGAAGCCAGCTTCTGACTGGGGTGCTCACCCATCATTCATTCATGTATCCACTCACTGATTCGACAAATGTTTATTGAATACCTATCCTGAGCCAGGCCCTTTGTTCAGAGCTGGGAATATATCAGTGAGCAAGACAGACAAAAGCCCTTTCATTTCCAGTAGCAGGAAATCAAACAGATAAGTGAAATGTATGAATGTCATTAAATGTTTGGAATGTCACATGGAGATATGCCATGGAGAAAGAGAACAAGCAAAGGATTTGGGATGTGGTGCATGTGGGTGGTCAAGGAGGGCCTTAGAGAGATGTGGATATTTGGGCAACGCCCCGAAGGAGGTAAAAGAATAAGCCATGTGAACACCTGCAGGTTAGGAATTCTAGGGAAAGGACACAGCAAACGTAAAGGCCCTGAGGTGGGAACACGTTTGTTTGAGGGAAGCAAGAGAGGCAGGGAGGAAGTGAGAGAGGTACACGGAACAAGGCTGGCTGACCAGGCCAGGGACTTGTAGGGACTTTGGCTTCTGCTCTGGGTAAAATGGGAGCCAGGGGAGGACTGTGAGCTGAGCAGTGATGCCAACCTGACTTTCAGTTTCATGAGATCACTGCAGCAACAGAACCCCATATCACAAAACTGCAGGGGATGCCATCCACATGGAATATATGCCACCTGAATACAAGATGCTCAGCTCGTATCCTTCTAAATGCAAGATACTTGGTGGAAGACTGCAAGGGCAGAAGCAGGGAAACCAGGTAGGAGGCTGCAGTGACAATCCAGGCAAGAAGTGACGGTGGCTCAGCTGGGAGGGATGGGAGGGAGGGTAGAGTGGCTGGGTCAAACTCTAAATAAATACATTCTGGAGAGATTCACAATGTGCAAGAAATGCCATTTAAGCCATGTGCCTGGGTAAGCTCCCCAAGGGAGTAAGTGTAGGTAAGGGAGAGATGTGACCCAAGGGCTGAGCCTTGGAGACTCTGACATTAAGAGAGATCAGGGAGAGGGGCGCCTGGGTGGCTCAGTCGGTTGAGCGTCCGACTTCAGCTCAGGTCACGATCTCGCGGTCTGTGAGTTCAAGCCCCGCGTCGGGCTCTAGGCTGATGGCTCAGAGCCTGGAGCCTGCTTCCGATTCTGTGTCTCCCTCTCTCTCTGCCCCTCCCCCATTCATGCTCTGTCTCTCTCTGTCTCAAAAATAAATAAACATTAAAAAAAATGAAAAAAAAAGAGAGGTCAGGGAGAAAAGAAGGGTTCAGCCAAGGAGATGGAGAAGGAACAACCAGTGAGTGAGGTGGAAGGAAACCCAAGAGAGTGTGATGTCCTAGAAACCAAATGAAGAAGGGTTTCTAGTGTCAGGACAGGCACTGAGGCTTGCAAGTATGTGAGAGGGAGCAGGGCCTGCCTGAACAAACACCTTATTCTGTCGCTGGTCACGAGTATCTAAACATACAGACTTCGGTTGTCTGTATACACAGGTGCACGATTCTTTCTCTAAAATCCTTGGGGTTGGGTGTGCTTGGAATTCAGAATGAAAGGGGATTTAGAAAGAGAATGTGGTACCTACATTGTATATTGTACAAATAAACTGCCCCAGTGGGGTCTGGTGTAACACTCTATGCTCAAGCACACTGATGTTTCCTCTATAAACATATGAATATTACCATGAAATTGGATAAATAAAGGTTTTGCTGCCAAATGAATGTTAGGCCCATCTTTTCCCACTGAGTTCGATACAACAAAACATAGCTCTCAGAGCTTCTGGAGTTCAGAATTGAGGCAAAGAATCAATGATCTTTATCTAATGATAATTATCTCTGTATCATAGCATATTTGTAAAGATGAAATGCAATAATCCACCTAAAGTACTTAACACAGTACCCAGAACACCATACTCAATACCTGTGGGTTTTTATCATTCACATGTATAATTCTGCATTATACAGAATGGACATATATATTCTTTGAGGGTATGAATGTATATCAAGCTTATTATTTATATAGTTATATGCATATGTTTATACATATTTCTACACATGCACTTCATATAATATTTATACGTGTGTATATATCTATTTTTACAATGTATGTAGTTATGTTTGTACCTTTAAAAAAATTTTTTAATGTTTATTTATTTTTGAGAGAGAGAGAGAGAGAAAGAGAGACAGAGTGAGTGGGGGAGGGGTAGAGAGCGAGGGAGACACAGAACTCGAAGTGGGCTCCAGGCTCTGTGCTATCAGCACAGAGTCAGATGTGGGGCTCGAACTCACGAGCCGCGAGATCATGACCTGAGCCGAAGTTGGACGCTTAACTGACAGAGCCACCCAGGCTCCCCTAGTTATGTTTATATCTTATTAATTATGTCTATTTCAGTAAATGTATGTATTTCTCTTAATTACAGGTACATAAATTATTTCATTTTCTATGCTTACCTTTTTTAAATTTTATTCCTTTTTTTATTTTTTAATGCTTATTTATTTATTTTGAGAGAGAGAACATGTGCATGCAAGCAGGGGGGAGCGGCAGAGAGAGAGAATCCCAAGCAGGCTCTACGCTATCAATACAGAGCCTGATGCGGGGGCTCAATCTCATGCACTGTGACATCATGACCTGAGCCAAAACCAAGAATCGGACACTTAACCGACTGAGCCACCCAGGCGCCCCACATTATTATTTTTTTTCTAAAGTAAGTTTCTGTTTCTCTTTGTTAGTCTAGCACATGGAAATGACTAGAAAGATTTTTACCAAATATGGAGAATTTGCCTGAGACAAATTGACTTAAAATATAGGCTATGTGGCCTCCAATTCATTTTGTAGGGTGTGGGGGAGCATCTAACTCAGCAGCCAAAACTGGGCTTCAGATAAAATCAATATGGTGGTTAAAAATAAGTCAATATGGACATGCCTGGGTGGCTCAGTTGGTTAAGTGTCTGGCCTCAGCTCAGGTCACGATCTCGCAGTTCTGAGTTTGAGCCCCATACCAGGCTCTGTGCTGACAGCTCAGAGTCCGGAGGCTGCTTCTGATTCTGTGTCTCCCTCGCTCTCTGCCCCCACCCCCATTTGCGCTTGCGCGCGCGCTCTCTCTCTCTCTCTCAAAAATAAACATTAAAAAAAAAAAAAGCCAACATGGTGGTTCCTAAAAATATTATAAACAGAACTACCATATGAACCAACAATCCCATTTCTGGGTACATATCCAAAGGAAATGAAATCTGGATCTCAAAGAGAAATCTATACTCTCAGGTTCATTGCAGCATTATTCACAATAGCCAAGATACAGAAAAAACATAAGTGTTCACAAATGAATGGATAAAGAAAACGTGCGTGCGTGTGTGTGTGTGTGTGTGTGTATACACACAATAGAATATTATTCAGCCATAAAAGAGGAAAATTTTGCCATTTTTGACAACATGGATGGATCTAGTGGACATTATGCTAAGTGAAATAAGTCAGATACAGAAAGATAAATACTGCAGGATCTCACTTAAATGTGGAATGGAAGAAAAGCCAAACTCATACAAGCAGCAAGCAGAATAGTAGTTGCCAAGGGAAGGGAAGTGGGTGGATGGGGAGATGTTGGTCAAAAGGTACAAAGTTTCAGGGGTGCCTAGGTGGCTCAGCGGATTAAGCGTCCCACTTCAGCTCAGGTCATGATCTCATGGTTCGTGGGTTTCAGCCCTGCATCGAGCTCAGGGCTGACAGCTCAGAGCCTGGAGCCTGCTTCAGATTCTGTCTCTCCCTCTGTCTCTGCCCCTCTCCTGCTCATACTCTATCTCTCTGTCTCTCTCAAAAATAAATAAACATTTAAAAAAAAAGGTACAAAGTTTCAGTTATGCAGGATGAATAAGTTCTGGAGATCTATGTACAGCATGATGACTACAGTTAATGATACTGTATTGTATAACGGTACTGTATTGTACTAAGAGAGCATTTAAGTGTTCTCACCATAAAGAAAAA